CCCCAGGACTGAACGTCCTTCACTGCTGCTCTGTCCCCACACACTGGCAACAGAACAAGCAGGTGTGTCTTGGAGAAGGTGCAGCCAGAGTGCTCCTTGGAGGCAAGTATGGCGAAGCTTCAACACAATCTTTGGGCAGTTGTCGCAGAGGCTCTTCCTTGGGAAGGGACATCGTACTTGGAGAAGTAGAAAGACAGCGAAAGAAAGGAGGGCCTTCAACAAGGTGGCTTAACACCAGTGACTGTAACGGGGGCTCACGTGTGTCAGAGATGCTGAGGACGGCGCTGGGTAGGACAGAGCTCAGGCCTGCTGTTCGTTGGACCACCTCTGGTCACGCTCACCTAGACAGCGCCCATCACCTGCAGAGCCTGAGAAGGGAGCTGCCGTACCACACAGGTTGCTGCACTCTGAACCCAACAGCTAAGCCTCTCTGGAGGTTCAAATATACCACCGGCTCTGAGGAAGAAAGATGGACAGTCTCCTTCTGTGCCCTTTACAGCCTCCAAAAGCCAATGAGAGGCCAGCTAGGAGTTGGTTCCGGGCTGAGGGTGGGGCGTCATGGTTGCCTTCATAAAGTATGGGAGGCACAGAACATGCCCCAGAGTTTGACACTTCCGCCTCCTGCCATCCCTGCTGCCCTCCGTCGCCAGAGGTGAACACATGAGAAAGAAGCAGAAGAAGAAGCATTTGGTCCAGGCTGGGGCCCGCCTGGGACATCTGCTCACTGCATGTACTCGCCCAGTGGTGCAGTAAGTTCCTTGTCCTCCGTATGAGGAGGAGAGATGAAAGTGAAGACAAGAAGGGCTTTCTTCCCCGCAGGCAGGTTCACCCCATCTCTGCCAGATTTTCTCTATCAGTAAGGGGTCTGGGTTGTGTTTAGCCTTCAGTTTACTTGTTGGAGTCATGAAGCCCACAGTGAATGACAATGATTCTCATTTATCAAAAGTTCAATACTGCAAACTTGAAGTGAAGTGCTTTCAAACACCACTTTCAGGGCTCAAGACAGCACAGTGTGCCGTGATTCCATCCTGCACAGGAGGAACCTGAGGCTCGGAGAGGGAGAGTGTCTTGCCTGAAGCCTCACAGCTGGGCAGTGCAGGGGACAGGGTTTGCATCTGGAGTTGCTGCCTCAAGAACCTGATGTCTGGTGCTAAGAACTGGGGGATTCCTCTTAGCCAGCACCCACTGTGTCTCCAAAACACAGCCACAACCTGCAGTAGAACATTTTGCAGATGCCACACTATTTCTACATGGCTAGTGTCACTTTAGGGAGCTCTGGTGGCCTAGAGGTAAGAAGCTGCGCTGCAGTCCCAAGGGTACATGGTTCAAATCCAGAAGCTGCTCAGCAGGAGAAAGATGGGCAGTCTCCTCCCATGTGATGAATTGTCCCTGAAAACCCACTGAAGAAGCTACGGGTCAGTTCTGACTTGAGGATAGACAACAATTATCACTTTACTCTCGGGAGAAATTTTTTAAAAGAATCTATAACAACATCATCCAGTTGATGCGTTTTGTAGAGAAGAGTCTCAGGCCCAAAGCAGGCCCAGTGCCAGTGCGTCCTTCACCGCTGATGAAGACCCTCTGTCCACTTCCTGAAGCGATAACCTTTAGGACTGCTCATCTTGAAAGCTAGAATCTTTGAAATCTCCTCATCTGTCTTTGAGAGGGTGCAGCCAGAATGTTTTACGGCTGCAAAAATGATATAACTTCACCTCACATTTGTCACGCATGTTGCTAGGAGGGGCTGTTCCTTGGAGAGGGACATGGTGCTGGGAAGGGTGGGGGGGCTGATGAAGGAGAGGAAGACCCTCGACCCGGTGGATTGACACAGTGACTACTGCAAAGGGCTCTACTGTATCAGGAGTGTGAGGATGGCACAGGATAGGACAGGGCTCAGAGCTGTTGTTCGTAGTGTCGCTACGGGTCATACTCGGCTCGACAACACCTAATGAAACAACAGACAAGAAGAACCCATGTCTTTGTGTCGTGGTGTTGGTGAAGAGTACTGACTAGACCGCCGACTGTCATAAGAACAGGCAATCTGTCCTGGGGGAAGTATAAGCAGAGAGAACCCAGAGGGAGGGGTGGTGGGAGTTCGTCTCACACACTTCTGCGAGGCTGTTGAGTGGAGGCAGAGCTTGGAAAAGGACGTCTTGCTGGGAAAGATGGAGGGCCAGCAGAGGAGAGGAAGACCCTCTAAGAAACGGACAGACACAGTGACTTCCACAACGACCTTGAGCATGTAAGTTATTGTGAGGATGGCGCGGGGTGAGACAGGGCTCACAGTGTCGCCATGAGTCATAACTGACTTGGTGGCACCTAATAACAACTACAGAGCAGATTAGGGTGGAAACTACAGGATGTATTATGTGTAGTAAACATGAGACTTGTCCTGTGGATGCTATTTCAGGGAGGGGTATCTATGTGTGTGTTAAATGTCTTTTTTATTTCAGACTATGGTTACATATACTTGTGAGTCACTGATGTAGCAAACACTCACAATTCCCACCTAACAGAGTAATTCTGTACTGTGTTTACTTTAGACTTCTTCTCAATAAATCCGGCACTGTGGGTATAACAAGCACTTCTGCTCCGGCTCTTGCCGGCTCGCCGTGGCCCTGCCTTTGATCAGTTCATCCACAGCCACAGTCCCAGTGCCGCACTAGGCTGTGGGTCAGAAGCCCCAGAAGAGGATGGAGGGCTCACTACTGAATTCTGCTCTCGGCCCCTTGTGTGCTTGGATGTGTTTAGAGAAACCATTTAAACATGCCAGTGTGTGTGTGGATAAGCAGGCTTCCCTGTTTACAGAAGATTCTAGAAGTATGTAAACACCTAGCGTGGGCTGCATGAGGCTAAGGAGTCTAAGTCTGTGCTTAGAGGCTCCCCAGAGCTCTGCTGGCCCTTGTCTGGGTCTGAGTGGAGGGAAGCGACCCCAGTTCACTCCCTCTCAATGCCGACAACAATGGAGTCAGGGCTAAAATGAGAGTGGGTGAACAAGCTGTTCTAGTCAGGACTACAACGGGGGCGAGGGGAAGGGGGAGGGAGAGAGAGGGAGAAGGAGAGAGAAAGAGAGAGGGAGAGGAGAGAGGGAGAGATACTTCCATCAGGCTTAGGATGAAGAGTGAGCGATTCCACCATCAGGACCTGACATGTGAGTGAGCGAGCAACAGCCCTGTCAGGACTGGAATGAACGGGTGAATGGTGTTCCCACAGGAAGTGGAATGAAGGAGTTGGTGAATGAATGATGTTACTGTCTTAACTAGGACTCAAATGCAAGCTCATTGCCATGGCCTCAGAACCGAATGATCACTGACTCTCCAGCGGGTTTTCAGAGGCAGTCAGTCCGGGGGAGGGGTTGCCCACCAGAGCAGTCTGAGTAAATCAATGGTAATCCTCACTGGGACTAGCACTGAGCGAGTCAGCGAGGGGAGTGGTGTTCCCAAGCAGGCCAAGCATAAATGGGGGTGGGGTAGATGAGAGGTTCCGGTCTGGACACTCTCATCCAGGGTGTGTCCACATCACATGCCACCCTGTTCATGTGCACAGAGTGCCTCCTGCCCCCTTCATTCTAGCAGCGTTCCTGGTGGGCTGGCCTTTCTTTGCTTCTTTTCCGTCTCTGCCCCCTGAATGTGAGAGCAGGACATTGATCAGCTGTGCACTGCTGCTCCCTGAACCTGATCACGGGGGCCTGAATGGAGCGTGTGGATATCGGGAAAGAAAAGCACAGAAATAACCGCATCCTGACCCATGGAGGAGGAAGCCGAATGGAGCTGTCCCCCCAAAACCGGAGCCTGGCCACGCACGAGGGGGCTGAGCCGGTGACAAGCAGAAACTCTGGGCGTGTTGGGGCAGCCCCCCATGTCTTGGGCCTTCTGGTTGCTACAACCCTGAGGAAAGTGGTGATGGAGATCGTAAGACGCAGGCCTGGTGGAGTGTCGTCCGCAGGGGTGTGCCCTGCTCACCCTCAGTGCTGCTTCTCTGGGGGTGCGAATGCACCAGCGGCTACTCAAGAGGAAGGTGAACATTCTCCTCCCATAAAATGTACAGCCTCAGAAACCTGCTGGAGTGTCGGCTACGGCCCCAACTCGACAGCAATGAGTGAGGAGGAGACGACTGCTAACTCAAAGGATGGTTACTGGAGACCTCGGAGATCTCAGAGGAGAGGCCTGGAGACCGGCATTGTTGTTGTCATGTGCCATTAAGTCACTTAAGACTCATAGCGACCCTATGTACAAGAGCCCCAAACGCCATTCTATCCTGTGCCAACCTCGCTGTTTCCGACACACTCATTCCCACCACCCCAATCACAGAATCGATCCATCTCATCGAGGGTCTTCCTCTCCTGCGCTGTCCCTCCACTTTCTAAACATGACATCCCACTCTAAGGACTGGTCTCTCCTTGCAACATGCCCAAAGTATGTCAGACAAAGCTGCAGAATCCTTGCCTCCAAGGAGCAGCCCAGTTTCACTCTCTCCAGGACAAATCTGTTTGTTCTCCTAGCAGTCCATGGTATATTCAGCATTCTTCTCCAGCACCACAGCTCAAACGCATCAATTCTCTTTCTATCATCCCTAGTCACTGTCCAGCTCTCTGATGCATAGCACTCAATTGCGAAGACTATAGCCTGGATCAGGCGCAACTTAATCTCCAGTCTGACATCTTTGCTCTTAAGTACTCTGGAGAGGCCCCTGACAGCTGACTTTCCCCATGCATTTTATCTCTTGATTTTCTGGCTGCTGGTGGTTAAGTAACCTTAGGTAGGAGGTGTCCTCCCATGCACCCACTGTTCAGATGGGAAAGGTGAGGCAGAGAAGGGTAGGCAGTTTGCTCTGCTACACAGCAAGAGCAAAGCAGAGCTCGGATTCAGACCTGGGCCATCTGCATGCAGCACCCATGCACTGGCCACCATGCTGCCTGCCGCCCAGAGAAAACTCGAAGACAAGCCCTGCCCACCCAGGTCAATCACGATCTGACCGGAAATCCTGTGTCTCTTTGGCAGCAATTTGAGGAAAGGCAAGGGAGAACCAGCAGCAAAACCGCCTTCTACCAGGCGCTGCAGAATTCCCTGGGTGGTGAGGACGTGGACCCGGGCGTGCAGGCTGCTGCCACGTGGTACTACAACCTGGAGCACTCCACGGATGACTACGCCTCCTTCTCCCGGGCGCTGGAGAATGCCACGCGGTGAGCCACACGTGGAGGGGGTCTTGCTGGGTCTAATGGGGAGTGGGGCCCGGGAAGCCACAGGGAGGAGGCAAACTCCATCCCAGACACACTCGGGCCCACGGCATCCAGCCTCGTTCACAAGTGTCCTCCACAGTATAGACCCTGTCCCCCAACCCCTCGCCCCGCCCCAGTCCCACCTCAGGGTACCATCCTGTTATCCCTTGGTGGTGCTCTGTACCGTCCAGGTGGAGGTGACCATGGCTGACCCTCTAATGGGTTTTCAGAGATAGCAAATAGCACAAGAAGAGATTGCCCATCTTTCTCTTAGGAAGCAGCTAGTGGATCCAAACCACGCATCTTTGGGATTGCAGTGCAGCTTCTTAGCACTAGGCCACCGGAGCTCCCTCGCTTATCCCCATGGTGCTCATAACCAAACTCCTTTCTCCTCTCACCAGAGACTATTTCATCACCTGCCCCGTGATCGCCATGGCCGGCCACTGGGCACGGCAGGCCCGAGGGAACGTCTTCATGTACCACGTTCCCAGCAGCCAGGGTCATGGCAGGTAAGGAGCTGAGTGGCCAGGGGCGTGGGGCCGAGCACAGGCACCTTCCTCAGTCCTTGTCGCTGCACGTGTGGTTTGCCAGCCCCCTCTAATAGAGGATCCAGTTGACGTGGGGACACTCGGAGTCTACATGTGGCCAACAGACGGGAATGGTCACCTCTCTTTACGGCTGAGGAGTCTGAGGTCCCAGGAGTTTGCATGACCACACAGCAGTGACCCAGGCCTCCTCCAAAGCCCAGGACTTTCTTTCTAGTAAAACCAGCATCTCACATCTGAGAACTATTTACGGGTTTGAGCCGGTGCAGCTCCTGGTATCAAACAACAGCATCCAGGCTTGGGGAGAGTTCTGGAAGGAGACTTGTCGGGGAGAAGTGTTGGAGAAGAGAGTGCCTGGTGTGGGGGGACATGAAGGGAGCCCTTGTGAGCTGTGGTCTGTGCCCATCCATGGGTGGGGGGATGGATCAAGGAGAAGCCCGGCAACACTCCTAGATGCCAGGTTCTCAACAGCTCATGTTCCTATAACGTGAGAACCTCAAAAACCCTCTGCTGCCGTTAGCTGCCAAGGAGTCACCAATTCATTGCAGCACCACACGCTGCCCAGCCTGCACCATCCCCACAACCCACCACGGGTTGGATTGTTGTGATCTGTAAGGCTTGGGGGCGGTGTGTTTGGCTTTGTTTTTGATTTAATTTTATTGTACTTTCAATACTGTCAGGTTCCCTCGCAACACTTTATAAAAAAATTGTTCACTGGTCTTGGTTACAATTTTCAGAGTGTGACTCTCCTCATGAGTCCCGTTCTGGGTTTTCATGGGTTGATGCTTAATAGATTTCCAGGCTTTTCCTCCTAGTCTGTCTTAGTCTGAAGCATCTGCTGGAATCAGTTCAAGCAGCATAGCTTCCGCTGCAGACAGATGATAGCTACACGGGAGGTTTGCTGGTCAGGAATATCACTCATGTTTCCCTATGGAAGATGAGAGGTTGACCAAGAAACAGTGAGCCCCCACCTACTCAATTAGACCCCAAAATTTACCATGGGGAAAAAATAAAGATGTACATTCAGTGTGAGAAAGCCAGAACAGAAGTAAGAAGAGAACAAAACAGAAGCTTTGGTCCACTTGCAGACAGGATCACTAGTGTCCCTGGACCCCTCTTTCCCTCTGAAGTGACAGGGACTGCCCAGGAGCTGGTGAATGGCAGGGCCAGGTGGTCTGTGTGGAACCTGCCATCAAAGTGGCCCTCGAGGAGTGGTTGAACAGAACCCAGTCTCTCGACGCCCGGCTAGTCCGGTGATTTGTTGACAGGGAGCTTCTATGCCCCTTTGGGGTCAACAGACATAGCCCCTCTGTGCAGGTACAAAAAACCCTACGTGACAGGACTTACACAGCGTCCTGATTCCCCAAGGCTTGGGAACCCCAGAAGCCAGGGACCCTCCTTGCACACAGGGACTCTTGTTATTGTGGTTATGTGCCCTACAGTCAATTACAACTCAGTGATCTTGTGGACAATAGATCTGAACCTTGTCCTCCAAGAACAAGAGATGAAGCTTCACCATCCTTGCTTCCAAGTAGCACCTTTTCCAAGACATATCTGTGTGTTCTCCTGCAGTCCGTGGGATATACGATACTCTTCTCCAACATCAACATTCCAAGGAATCAATTCTTCTGTCATTGTCCAGCTCTCAGATGCACAGCAAGTGGTTGAAAAGACCGTGACTTGAATCAGGCACACTTTAGTCATTTAGACTAACATCATTGTTCCTCAGCATTTTGGACAGGTCCCTGACTTGCCCAATTCAATATGCCTCCTGGTCTCCTGACTACTGAAGCCAAGGGTGTCAATTGTTGATCTAAGTAAGACGAAATCACTGACAATTTCAATCCTTTCTCCATCTAACTTGTTGCCTGTTGGCCCAGTGGTGGTGAGGACTTTTGCTTCCTTATTGTTGAGGTGTAATCACTATTGAAGGCTCAGTACTTGATCTTCTGCAGCAGGCATTTCAAGCCGGGTGTTAATGGTTACCTTATAGGCCTGCCTGTCATTTGACTGGAAGTTGAAACACAGGGTCAAATTTTGTCCTGGATTTGAAGGATGAATGAGGGCCATAGTCTCCGGGATGCCAGTCTCCATCAGACACTTGTCTAGGCAGCCGTGTTGCTATTTATATAAAAGCAAAAGTGTTTCTTGACTAAGAGCTGGAACTCAGCACCAAGTTCCATGGTTCAAAACCCACCTTGAGTCTTGTTGGCCTGGTGATTTAGGTGAGGGACTTGCCTTTCTTGGTGACACAATCACTTCAGCTGAATATGGGGATAATAGTGATACTGCACAGGAAGAGTGCTCATAGCCTAGGGCCCCAGTGTTATAGAACTTGGCTCCTAACTGAAAGGTTGGCAGTTCAAATCCACCAGCAGCTTGTTGAGAGAAAAATGTGGCTATCGTTTCCATAAAGATTTAGCCTTGGGAGCCCTGTAGACTGCTGTCGGCCCTGTAGGGTGGCTGTGAGTTAGGACCAATGGCAGCGGGTTTGGCAGAGGGAGATTGTGAGAATTTGTATACAGAATGCTGTCTGCCAAGCAGGAAGTGTCAAGAGCATCTTGCTAGTTCTTGTTCATTATAAAGCATTCTTGTCAACTGTCAGGGTGCAAGTCTCTCCCCCACCACAATCCCAGAGAGGTGCCGTCAGAGTCCCGGGATGCGGGGACTAAGCACTCAATTACTAGTCAGAAGATGAGTAGTTTGAGCCAGCCCAGAAGAATCTTAGAAAAAAGGGCTGATGACCTGCTTACAAAAGGCCACCGTCTTGAAAACTCCAAGGAGCAGTTCTTCTCTGCATGCACAGGGTCACCGTGCGTCAGAGCCACCCCATGGCACGCACCCCATCGCCAGCTACCCAAATGGATGAATGAATCCAGACACTAACCCATTGGACGTGTTGGCAAGCTTGTCTTTTTTCCACCAGAAAAGGCGTCTCTCTTACTCTAAAGCTGTCACACTCTTCATTTCTTCCTGGCTCAAATCTAGGTACTTAAAATATATGTGTGTGATCGCACTGCCAGCCATCTGCCTTGAGCCTCCGTCGCTGCTGCATACGTTAGCTCCCCTGGCAATGGCTGGTGAGCAAAACACAATAAATTAGCACTTTCGTAGACTGCTGCTAATTGATGGCAGAACACTGGTCCTCTGACTGCCCACGCAGACTGTTTCTGTCACTCCCACCTCTGAAATGAAGGCCCAAAAGAACAGACATCATGGCTGAGACAGGAGGCAAAGCTGCCTTAATCATGAAGCTGGGTGGGACTCACCTGCTTGAATCATGGCCCTGTGTTTGGAGCTTTGTCCTAATGCTTTCCATTCCCTGGGTCCTGTGATCTCATTCCCAAATCTCAATGGATGGAATTTGACTTCTCTTTGAATAGCAGTCAGAATAGGGCTTTGAGATTAAGCACCCACTAGGACTCTCTCCTAAAACATTGGATTATCCCGCAGTTTGGGGAAAGGAAGTCTGGAGAGTCGAAGACCATATCGTTTAAAGTAAAACCAACTGCGATTTCAATCCCATCTCATCCACTTATGGAAGTTTTGCTTGCGGGTATGTTTTCAAACCTCCGTTGTCCCGCCTATCAAATGGGTATAATTACATCTACCCGAGTGTGTCAGAGATGATGAGATGGCACAGGATAGGACAGGGTTCTGATCTGTTGTTTATAGAGTCACTGTGAGTCCATTCTCAACTCGACAACACCTAACAACAACAACAACTATAGTAAGAAAAGGAGGTCTGGTGTGAAAGTTCACAGAGAGCTGGAACTCCTACCCCAAAGATGGCTCGAATCCACCAACAACTGTACAGGAGAAGGATGGGCAGTGCCCTCCCATGTGATGCATGGCCTCGGGCACCCAGTGGAGGATCAGCTATTTGTCAGTTTGGACCATAGTCATGAGTGAGTGCTGGAAGGGTGCCGAAGAGCCAAGACAATGTAAGGTAAACAACTGGTGCGTTGGAGCTGTTCAGAACTGTTCAGAATTCAGAAGCCCAGGTGTTGGGATGGGTTAGGTGTTGGGCTGCAGACTGCAGGGTGATATGCTCAGACCCACTCACTGCTCTGCAGGAGAGAAAGGAGGCGTCCACTCCGGGTAATGACTCCTTCCCGTGGGAGTGCCAGTGGGATGGGTTTGGTCATCAGTAGATTTGGGTTTAATTTAAAGTGATTTTTGTGGTTGTTGTCGGGAAAGCTTTGGGAGGAAAAATGTCAGTATAACTCAAGGAGTAGAGTTCTTCCTCTTTTATAACTTCTCTTGACCCTGGAAAACACAGCTATAAATTCTAGATCGAAAAACATTTGAATTCTAATTTCTGTGCATTCCATGAGACTTAGAGATTTCATGTTCAATATATTATCTCTTTGACTGAGGATCTTGGTGAATCTCTTAGGGTTAGCAAACCAAAGAAAATATTAAGAAGCTGGATTCCTGAGTGGAGTCCCTGGGCTTGCACGCTGTGAGATTAGCGAGGGTTTTTTCCCCAATGGAAATGAGTCATTTTCTGAAGCAGTGTTCCAGTCTCAGGACTCAGAGGGCTTTACAGGCTATGTGCCCTTCAATTTGATCTGGTGAGTTGTTGCTGAGTGTCTCTTATACTCAGAACATTCTCTTACACCCAAGTATGGAATGTTAGCAAGGTATGCATCACGAAGCCCTGATGTCCTCATTCATAGGGTGTCCTGCATCTAACACCAAGGATAAGCCTCTTAGGCAGTTTGAATCCAGAATCCAGAATGGACTCCTTGGAGAAAGATGGGAAATCGCCTGTGTGGTTTGCTCAACTGTGAGTCAGTTACAACCCATTAGCAATGACAGACGCGTCTAAACTAAGATACACATGGTTTAGTTGCACTTCCTCACTCATCTGTAGTAAGCAGTCTCACTGCATCTTTGATGTGTTGAAACCCAGATGAAATTGTTCACTACAGGTAAGTAAGAAAGCACCTTGAAGCCCG